AGTAATAAACCAGCTATTTTTTTATTTTTTGCCTTTTCACCAACATTGTTTGTAATAGTATTTAGTTTTCTGTGTTMATTCCTATTTATTACATTAGGTGCAAAGTAAACTTGGGCTTTCTTCCTCACCACCATTTACTGATGATGCGTTAACGTCTGGTTYTGACTAGTTTTTATAGTTTACCATTTTGTTGTCTCGTTGTTCTGTTTTTGTTGTCAAGTTGCTAACATTATGTGTCTGTAATGTAAATGAATAATCTAGTTATTTAATAAAAGTTACCCAGTGACAGTGAAGGGGAGAAACTGGTGTGGGAACATGTTCGTAAACACAGTGGGTCTTTTTTTGTACCGGACTGTCCCGAGTCAGCCTTTGAAAGTGTCCTGTCATATATTTAAAGTTGACATTTTTTWAAAAAATCCCCTTTGGTCACTTAGAGTTGAAAGTTAAAATTGTCTGGTTCCTCTTCGCTCCATGTTGTCGTCACACTTCTTTAAGTGACGGTCTTCTTCTGTCTCCGTATTTCAGAGGTTCCAACAGTCGGGCCCTGAAGATCGCCGGCCTCACCACGCTGGCCTGTCTGCTGTTGGCCAGCCAGGTCTTCACAGCCTACATGGTGTTTGACCAGAAASAGCAGATCCACAACCTGCAGAAGAACTCGGAGAGGATGGGGAAACAGCTGACACGCTCGTCTCACGGTAAAAATAAAAGTTGAACCGTGCGCCCCTGTGTGCGGATGTGATGGAGGAGGAAATGAGAATCGATTTTAAAGGAGTTGATTTTAAAACTAATCAACAATATGAAAATGTTTCCTGCAATTCATGACGAGGAGCCTTGCTACCTTTATTTCAATTGTGAAAAACTATGAAAAATGACAGTTGATAAAAAAAAATCTTATCAAGTACAAGAAGAGGTATTTGTACATAACACAATGCAGAGTCTTGCAAGCTTTTTTTAAATAAATAAATAATTAAACATTTTTAATCACMGTCACATACTTCAAACATAAATGAAATAGGTGAAACAACATGAAGGATTTAGAGGGAGACAATATAATAAAACAATGTGTTCAATGAATTTCAACAGTTTTTAAGTTTTTTTGATCAGGCAAAATTGGTCAGCTATACTAAAACCAGCAGTCTCAGTTAGGTCTTAAATCTGTTACAAATTTTATTTGTATTTTGTCTGGTATTTTTAAAATTCAGTTCTAAAGCACTTTGTGTGATAAAATGAACAACTTTTTGTTTTTTCCTTAACATTTCAGTTCAGTTTAATTTAGTTTCTTTTCTGTTGGAACAGCTGGAGCTGAGGCAAACTTCAACAGTTTGTTTTCCCTGTGTGGAGTCTTTTCTGRAGATGTAACTACATCTTATTTCTTTCAGACCACAGGAATAACTGACAGTTWAAAATGTGAAATATATAAAACAAGAATTTGCCAACAGATACACATTAAAGCAGCAGGACAGTGTGTCCTGGTGGCAGATTTGTAGTACTACAAATCTTTTTTTTCTTTATTTTATTTTTTATTTTTTTACAGAAGCAGTTTTGTTTCACTTCCTGCTTTTTACAAAACAAAAGAAAGACTGTTCAGGTGGTTTATGATCCACAGATATTCTTTTACACACATTTACTGATAATTTGATTCAAACTGAACAAAAGCATCAAGTTTTAAAGCATCCCGATGGTGAATTAAACTCTTTGTTCTTAGATCGTCAGTCAGCTAATCTGGAGGGCCTTGCGTCACAAACCCTGCCTTGTTTTTCCCAGCGTGCATCTGGGTTAAAAAGGAACACAAAGCTCATCAAAAATAAGAACTAAACCAGTAAATAACTGATATATAGTGACAAAGTGTTGTTAATCATTTTGTCTGTGTATGGTTAAAGGTTGCTTTGTGGGTTTTAGTCCTGGTGTTGATCTTTTTACAAATGAACGTTCCTAGGCAGAACCATCAGTCAGAGGGAACAGGGCTGAAGGCCTTTAAATGTTACTCAGATGCAGGGGTAATGTGTGCTAGTTCACTAGCACATATTCTAAAATTGGAACGATACAGAGAAGATTAGCATGGCCCCTGGCGCAAGGATGACACGCAAATTCGTGAAGCGTTCCTCATTTTCATCCACTTTAGAAAACATTAAATATATTAGATTCCCAAGATTTTGTTAAAACCAGAGAAAACTGGCTCATCTGCATAAAAGTGATAGTTTGTTTTTGGTTGTGGTTATTTTCAAAGTAAAGAAAGCTCTTTTAGCAACATTTCTTAAATTAAAACCCAAATAATACCCCCCCTCTTCATMAGGGGAGAACAGGGATTCCATTGGAAAATTGGCTAAAAGGCTGGCGGTAGCGCTAAGAAACCTGGTGGGTAGGGTTGAGAGAAGTGGAGCGGGGCGGGGGAGGGTGTTTTTGCTCCCCCCTTGTCTGTCTGTCTGTCTCTCTCTCCTGTCAGCTACCTTAACATGATAAGCATGTAAATTAAAGTGACAACTAGKATAGTTCCTGGAGAAACTATGAGAGGATTGCCATGTGCCAAACTCCTTTTAACAATTTTTTTTAAAGATATGAATATACGGTTGTTTGGAGATCACTGTGATGAACTACCATCCCAAATTTGAGGCAAATGTGTCAAAAGAGTGCAGTGTTATGGTAAAAGTAGCATTTTAGCTGTGGCAACAATGTTGTATTTATAGTTTAGCAGAAGTACTGTTAGTCTTGGAGTGGCGAGACCCCCCCCCCCCCCCGCCCCCAAACTACCAAAACCATCAATAACCCTGTAAATGGGGCGTAGGAGGGCCAAAAACCACTCAAAACCACAAAGAACCCTAAAAAACCAAGTGAAAGGGGCGTAAGAGGGTTGAAACCCCCTGAAAATGACCAAGAACCATCCAAAATTTTGTAAAAGGGTCAGAGGAGGGCTGAATCCCCCACCAAACCAACAAAAACAATCAAAAACCATGTGAAAGGGACCTAGGAGGGCCGAAAACCAGTCAAAACCACCAAAAACCATTAAACACCATGTGAAAGGTGCCTAGGAGGGCCAAAAGAGTCAAAACCACCAGAAACCATCAAAAACTATGTGAAAGTGGCCTAGAACAATGAAAAATCACAGAAAACCACCAAAAACCATGTGAAATGGGTGTAGGAGGGCCGAAAACCAGTCAAAACCACAAAAAACCATCAGAAACCTTGTGAAACGGGAGTAAGAGGGCCAAAATCCAGTAAAAATCACCGAAAACCATCAAAAACTATGTGAAAGGGGCGAAGGAGGCCAATCTGAAGGCTTGAATCTGGGGGTGTGACAGCCAGGCTTGCTGGACAAAGCAGTGAGAAGATGGTTCCGGGCAAAAGCCGCTGTGTGAAAACTARAAGGTGCATTTAAAAAAAATGTTGGACCTTGAGAGAGGAGCAAGATTTGAGAGAGAGCAGCAGCACYTGCACAGGTGCACGGATCTGCTCGCTTGCAAATTTGACTTTTGAGACTTTCTTACCACTGCAGAGGATCTGCATGTGTAATGCTGCGTTCAGGGCTGGTGAAAAGCTGGGGCATTTGAGCTTTAGCAGCTATACTGCACTGGGCTGATTGAAATGCCGCTTTGTGACCTCATAACCACTATATTTAATCGAACTAGAGTTCGATTAAAGCGGTCGAAACAGAGCTGGTGTGAATACACCCTAAAAGGAATGTCAGATTGCCTGAGTGCCCAAACTAAAGAATTCTTGTTCTTGCCATTTTGCAGCCGTGGCCCCGGCAAGGATGGCCATCCCCATGAGCAGCCTGCCTCTGCTGACAGAGTTCACTGAAGAGGACACCAAAAAATCTGAGACACCCATGACTGTAGGTTTATGCCCACACCTCAGGAAAAAAGACTTAAACTGTGTTTTGAGTACTCTAAGGCTAACCTTAAGTAATCTTCTGACTTCTCTGCTCCCATCAGAAGCTGCAGGACATTGCTGTCGTCAGCGTGGAGAAACAGCTGATGGATCTCATGAAGGTACGTTGCAAATAAAACCTGTTGTGTCGCTTCATGTCACGCATCGATTGGTTGCTGAGCCTTGACCGTCTGTGAGCAGGACTTCAGCGTGCCGCAGTTCAACCAGACCTTCCTGGCCAACATGCAGAGCCTGAAGCAGCGGATGAACGACAGCGAGTGGCAGGTGAGGCTGCACTCAGGTGGAAACTAATAAACCCAAAATCAAATGAAGCGATTCTTCTGACTGCGTCTGTTTAACACGTCGCCGCCTGCAGGGCTTTGAGTCGTGGATGCGCCATTGGCTGATCTTCCAGATGGCCCAGCAGCCGCCAGCATCCTCCATCTCTCAGCCAGGTTTGTCCTTTTAGTTTTTAAGGGAGAAAAATCCAGTGGCCGGCCCTCACTTGATGGGAGTCGGCTCTTCTGATTCACTACAAAGCATCAACTTGTGACGGTTCCTGTTTATTGATGATTTTATTGCTATTTGTTTTTAGTAATTTAGTTGAGTGCCAGCCAGGTCTCCCTCCTGACCTATAGGATGTTTTAACCAGCTTAAGGTGTTTTTACTGTTGTTTTTATATATGGTTAGAGTTATTTTTGTTAACCAGACACATAAGGACATGTAAAGTATAAAAAAAATCATAAATACACACCCTTTCAACTCTAATTAAATAACAAGTGACAAAAAATGTTTTAACAAAGAAAGTGAGCACAAACAAAGGAATAAAGTTTTCAAATATATTATTTACAAAAATAGAATACAAAGACAATATAAAACAATACAATAGAAAGAAAAACAATTTACCCCTCCCCCAGTGTCCATGTGTGGTATTAAAACCACTTAAATAAAGAGTTCAATTCAAACAAGCTTCTCGCTTGGCTCCACAAGCAGGAAGTAGAAGGATGGCTTGACTTCACAAGCACAGGTGGAAGGCTGACRTCTTAAACAAAATAGGGCTTGGCTCCATAAGCAAAGGTTGGTTACGATTAAACTTAACTTATGCAGCCAAAGAGAAAACAAACACCTCCACAAAATAAATTTACACCCATAAACAAAAATGACTCCTCATACAAAAATCTCCACTTCCAGGAGCTAAAACACACAAAGTAAATACTATTATTTTTTTTCTTAAGTCATTTCATTAGACTACAACAACATGAAACAAACTTACTTTTTGTAGTGTGCAACTTTTATCAGTAAAAAAAATAATAAATCCATCCCTTTGTGCTCATCATTCCTACTAACTCTTGTAGATACAAAATATCAGTTGTGTAATATAAAAACAAGTACAGAAAAAAAAACAATGCTCCCCATAACTGTGAAAATAATTTGTTCAACATTTTAAGCTTGTTTCCCCTCAACTCAGAAAGGTAGACAAACTGACAGTGGTGGGCACCAGTCCACTAAAGTGCAWATCTGCTAATTGTGGATCTAACTATTTTATTTACGCTTTAGCGGTCTTCCTAATTTTTATAATTCATACATAGAMTTGCACTATATAATTTTAAATTGCAGTTCCCACTAATAATTAATTATCTACCATCATCATTATCTTCAACAGTGGAGAGTATGGCTGTCAGGACTCACAACACATGTGATCCATCCAACAACTCCCCTCTCAGTTAAACACTACTTTTGGGAAGGTATACGTCCTTCCTGACTGTCGCTTTGGGTCACGGTTCAGTCGGTTCTCATTTRAGTAGGTCAGCTTTGCAAAGTATTTTTGCTGGCAGCAATCTATATTACTCATATGGCTTCTGTTAAAATATAATAAACACAGTGCAAAAGACAATATTCAGTAGCCAGCAGGGATCCACATTTTACAGACATTTCCCACAATGCTTTGTGTCTGCTTACATCGCAGGAAGGCAATGTTTAGAACTCCCTTTCCCAGCAAAAACAGTAAACGTTTGTAATCCGTACTAAAATTTTATATGTCTTGATTTATTTTACTTTACAATCGGAGCTCCCTTTTTTAAAAAATAAAGTTTAAACGCTGGAGCTCAATACTTGACGTAATTGATCAAAGCAACGGGGTTATAGACTTATGCTGACAAAAACTGACATCCTGTGGTCAACTGGAGCAGCTGCAGCTACATGGAAAACATCCTGATGCAGCTCAGTAATCCAGGTAGAAAAAA